TGGATAAAATAGTGTTTCCATTTATTCATCCAAAAAGGCGCATTCTTTGAAGCCAGAATGCATTTTCCTTGATATCGAACATAATGAATGTTAAGATCTTTGAAGAATGTTAAAGGATACGAAAAATCTTTAGAAAAAACTTTTTCAAGATGCTCTCTTTTTGCATTAAAAAAAAATCGCTCAAAAAAAACGCTAAAAGATTTGAATCGTAAATGAGAGGATTTAGTACGTAGAAAAACGAAGATAGATTCATATTCACATACATAAAAATTATGGAGGAACAAGAATAATCTTGGATTACTTTTTGAAAAAGTAGAAATCCATTTCCTGGTAGTAATAAAACTATTCCAATTACAAAAATTATAAAGAAACAACCTTAATAAATAAAAAAAAGGGGCATCTTTCACCCAATATCGAAGGATTTGAACTAAGGTTTCCAGATGGATAGGATAGGGTATTCGTATATCTGACACATAATTTAAATATGTAAATTTATCTTCCAAAAAGGGGAAAATGGAATGAATTGATCTCAAATTTTTATAAGATTGGAGGATTTCTGCCTCCTCTAAGGAGGAGCTTAATTGTCGCAAAAATGGAATTTCCACGACGATGGCAAACCCCTCTGATATTATTTGAGAATCCAAATTCTTATTATATCCCCAAAATCAATTTTTGTTAGAATCATTAGCCGAAATGATTAAATGATTTTGTTGATACATTCGAGTAATTAACCGTTTTACAATTAGTAAACTATATTTATTGTCATAACCTACATTTTCCAAAAAAAATGGATCTATTCAAATTATGACTATAAGCAAGTCCATAAATATACTCCCTAAAAAGAAGTGGGTATAGGAAGTCCTGTTGGCGAGATCTAACTCGTTTTAAATATACTTGATATTCCTTCATTTTCTAAATTCGATTTGGTCAAAGCTTTATTGGATTATGAAATGATACATAGTGTGATACAGTCAAAACAAGGTATTCTAGATCTATATTCGAATTGAAATAAAAAACAAATATGAAGCGATACCTATAAAACGAGTTAAAACCCATTAATGGACTATCTCCCCTCGCTTGTTCCTTCTCATTTTTCTAGGACAAACAAGCTAGTTAGGAATCCTTTATTTTTTGGACCAATCGCTCTTTTGATTTTGGAAAAAAATAAGATCTTTATCAATATACTCTTTCTTCTACACATTTCTTGCTATCCCATAAAATAATGGGGAATAGCTAATAATTAGGACTCATAACAAAAATCGTTAATCCATCATTCGTAGGAAAAACTTTTTCCACAGCAAGCACTAATTCTTTTTTAACGTATAATTAGATGTGATAATCATTCAAATCAAAAATGAAAGCTCGTTGCTTTTTGTTTCCCTATAATTGGAGCAGCTAAGCTCTATCCCTTTATTAATTAAACCTAACGGAATTCATTTGTTCCGAGCCAACAATTCAAAGAAAAATATTGGTCGGATCAAATATGAATGAAAATTTTTTAGAATTCACCGTTGATACGACATGCTGTTTTTTCCATTCATTCCTTTCTGGATCAGCCGTGGTCTTACAAACCCTACTGATGGTAGGGATGAACCAATTAGTTCATAGAAATGTGTAAAAAATGGAGTCGCACTTAAAAGCCGAGTATTCTACCATTGAGTTAGCAACCCTAATCCAATTACAAACAAGGATGTCTATATCCAATCGCAATAAAAAAAGATGCAATTCTATAAATAATAGAATCAAATGTTACATATTATGTTACATATTACAATGAATGACATTAAATTACAATGAAAAAAAATACAACGAATCCACCATTTGATGAAGTAAAAAACCTATCTGACATGAGTCAATCGATCCATTTATTCACGATCGGATTATATTGGTTTGATACACTGTTGTCAATATTAATAGAAAATACTTCTATTTTAATTCATTATATTCCAAATCAAAAAAGAATAATGGACTAGAAAAAAATCTATCAATCCGAAAGATCCATAGGATTTATTTATAGATACATCAAGTATTCTATACAGTATTCGGCTCAATCCTTTTAGTAAAAGATTGGGCCGAGTTTAATGGAAATTAATAGAACAAATTATTATTACTGGATTACAAAGTATCCATTGCTAGGAATTCAAATTTGATTTCCTTCCAGACTTCACAAACAGCAGCTAATTCAGGACTCCATTTGCAAGCTTGACGGATAATTGCATTACCCTCGCGAGTAAGATCACGTCCCAGGATTTCTATTTCTTTTAATCTTTGTTTTAAATAAAATGATCAGACTACAACCAGCAGAATTCTATTAACTATATAGTAGAAAGAAATCAAATCTATTTCTTTCTACTATATTCTATATTACGGTAGGAGTAGGATAAAAATAGAATGTTTTACTAAAAAAAGAGTTCCTATGGAGGGACCAATTTATCATTTTCTTTTCATATGGATATATGGATATCGATCTATAGATATATATGGAATGTAAATTCCATGGCATCCACATTTTTCTTTATTTCATCTAAATCTATTCTATTTGTATTGGTTCCAATCAATCTGAAATAATTCAAAAGCAACGCCATTTTTATTCTTCTTAGTTTCATTTTTAGATTTCAGATTCTTTATCAGAATCCCGGTAACTAATAAATAAAAATAAAGAATCTTTTTAGTATTCCTAAATTTAAATAGATTAAATGGAATCGGAATCCGTTTCCAATTATCTTGATTCCCGGGATATCAAGATGGCAACAACATGAAATATATTACACCACTGGAAGCAATACAAGAGAATTTCCAAATCCAGATAGAATTGCATTTCATTAATTAGTATTAATAAAATAACTCAAATAGTTCAAAACTGGAAGAACTCAGCTATAAAACAATTGAGACAGTTTGATCCCTTAACTCAATTAGTATTACCTTTAAAGTCAACTTCTTCCCCATACTAAAAGGGAAAGGGAGAATGTAAAAACTACCATTAAAGCAGCCCAAACAAGACTTACTATATCCATGTCAATTATGTCTCCTATCTATATCAATATGAAGAAATTCAAACCTATTATTAGAAGATATTTAGTGAAAAACAAAAAGAATACAAGAAAAATAAGGAAACAATAAAAAATAAAAAAAAAATTCCTAAATATCCTACCTTAGAAAATATTGCTCAAATAAAATGAATAATAATTATTCTATCTTTAATATTTTCTGTTGTTTATAAAAGTTTATCAAATAAATTTAATAGGCAAAAATTTTATTATAGATTATTTTAATTAACTAAAATAAATATTAAATCAATTATTTAATTATTATTGCATTTTTTAAATAAATAAATATTATATCAAGTTGTGTTGTTGAATTGTTCGTGATGGATAAAAGACTCCTTTTTTCTTAACCTTTTTTTAATAAAATTTAGAGTGTTATATATTTTAATGTAAAAAAATATAAATAAATTTTTTTATAAAAATTTATTTTGAATAATTATTCTTAAAATGTTATTTTAAATATTTTATCGTGGAATTTTTTAAAAAAAATTTATTTAATTTTAAAATTTTTTGAGAAATAACTTTTTAAAAAATATGATTTCGATGATATTTTGATATTAAATAATATATGTTTGTTTTATAGAATGGAAAAATTAAACTTTTAATTTAGAAAAAACGAATATAAAAAAATGTATGATATTTTTGAAAACATCTTTATAAAAAAAATTAAAAATACAAAAAAAGTTATTTTTTAAAACAAAATCCTAAATTGTTCTTTTTATTAGTCTACCGAGAGTTCTTTACTCTTATTTGATGGCTATATAATTTGATTATTTCATTAGATTAAATTAATCTCTTCACCATATCAACTAGGGCAATACTCTTCTCATAAATTTGTGTACAATTGAATCAAATAACAATAATTTCATATGATTCATGAACTAGTTTACATGTGTCGGTTTTAATATATGAATTTTGTTAAATACATAAATCTTTAATTTATTTGCAAATATTTTACAGGAGCTTTGTCTTAAATAATTAGCTTGAATCTCTTTTGTCTTCAAATGCACTTTTTATTCTATAAAGGTTTGATACATGAAATGTAACTTCTACCAATGTTTCTAAAAGTTATGTGAGAGATATTGTCATCTTATAGTTTATAAACATCATACTAAAAAAAAAAATAGTACATTTTTTATTGAAAGAATCATGAGAAATTTATGTTTATGTTCTTCTAATTTATCAAAAATACATAACTTCTTATCTATAATTCCTCTTTATTGGATTTCAAGTTGACAATTTTTTATGAAATTTATTTGGTTCACGGGTTAAAATCAATAAAAATTGATGCCTCCACAATGGTAAAACCGAAAATTTTTAAAATTATAATCAATTAAAAAAAACTAAACTTTTTTTATATCACTTATTCATAGAATTATCAAATATCCTCTTTTCTCAAAATTATTTGAAAGACGAGTTTACGAAATTATCTTGCCACTTTTCTCAAAATTATTTAAAAGACTTTACAAAATTATCTGACCACCACGTTTTATTCCTTTTGTGCCCCATTGATAGAACTTTCTGCTGCCATTTTGCTTTCTCAAAGTTTTCATATTTTTCTAATTCACTACTTGGGGAAAAGCCAGAACAAGAGAAAAAGGAAGAGCCTAAACATCATCACCATGTGTTCTTGCCAAAATGATTCAAACAGCTAGTTGATTATGTCAAACAAAACATACATGCTTAAAACTTAAAAGAAGCATGGACACTGAAATCACGACGACACTGACACGTTTGATACATTAATAATTTGAAAAAGTAATAATTTAAATATAATCACAAGTGTCGGTGTCGGTTTCAGACACCAACACTGACACACATTTTTTCAGAGATGTTGGTGTCGGTTTCAGACACTAACACTGACACAGATTTTTTCAGAGGTGCCGGTGCTACGCAGTGAAACTTATTCCTCCCTCTCTTGTCCCCACTATAAAAATAAGCTTAAACAATTTTTCCTTAATTAGAAGATTCATTTAGGCAATAAAATTGCTTTTGAACCCATTTATTATAATCTTGTAGCATCTGCTCAAGTAGAAGTGGCACCAGCTTGTCCACCAAAGCTTGCATCATTCTGCATCACTCAAAATTTGGTAAAAGTTGTCATTAACTTGTTACATTGAGATAGTTGTAAGATTATGAATTAAACCACTCACATATTTCCAGGACCTTCAACCGCTGAAATAGGCATCATGGTAAACGGGCGTGTATAGATCTGCAAAACCCAACACTTTTTTAAGTTGAAGGGAAAATGCAAAAGTACAGCAATATCATACTGAACCATAGTTAGATTAGATACTATTACTAAGAGCATCTTTAGTGGGAGTAAACTAAATGGGTAAACTAAGATACTTTTTGTGGGTCCAAAGTGATTTGTAAGATTTAAAAAATTTATAGTTGATTTGAGTAGTTTTTACTTTAATGGTGGTTGTATATAAGAAACCAAAACTTGACCCCACATGGTATTAAATGGTTAATAAAAATCTATTATTTATTTTAAATAATTAATAAAAATATATTATTTTTGTTAAATGATGAGTTAGAGTACGTTGCTTGTGTAGAGCACGTAAACTAGTTTTAGAGCATCCCATATGCCATGTCAGCACTACTATAATGCAAATTCCTTATTACTAACGTAAGCTATAAAGAATTTTGGTTTAACAAACCTGCATTAAAGTTGCTCTAATATCTTTTATTTAAAAAAATGTTTACTTTTTAGTTTGAATATAAGAACAACCTCAAGTGTGAGATTCAACTTCACATCAACTTCCAAAAATGATTCAGCATCACTCCATGTCATGTGATTTATCATGAATGCTGTGAACTCATAGAAATGGTTAATAAGCATTGCTGTGACACAGCAAAAATTACAATGGATACAATACATATACCTGAAAAGTGTTTGTTTTGCTCTTCAATAATTTCTGAACCCTCGAACTGCGAAAAATACAGTGAAATATCCAAAAATGAAATGGAATAAGTGACTAAGAATGTTGAAAAGATGCATATTCAATAAAACTAAGATTCATAACTTCATATCATGTTTATGAAATATTAGGACATCAATCAGTACCATTTCTATCAAGCAATCTCACAAGTAATATTGATTTTGATTTTCACTGATTATCACGCGTGTGTATGTGTGTGTTTCATTTATTGTTCGCTCTACCTAAAAAATAAAGGTGTAAAATCCTTTAAAGGAAACACCTTACAAGAAATCATTTCAACCAAGCAATCTTCATCTGTTGATGTAACCCGCAGATCTATGAAAGGAGAAGCTTCAAAGTTCAAAAGTCTAAGTTTAGGTAGTTCACACCTACAAATGAATTAGGTATATATTAGTATTTTATCCTTCACAAGAGTTTGAACCTCAGTTCCCATAATTCAAATCAGTTGAGCTACCCAACCCGCGACAATCAATTGTATACTGGTCCTTAACATGCCTTTAATTCAACTTCAATACATTGATAAATAAAACTATCAGCGATCAATCATCAGCTATAAGGTACCGGTTAACTTATCATCTCATAGCCTAAATCAACTTCAATACATAGATGAATGAAAATATTTGCATTCTCCAAACGAAACCGATAAAAGAATTGAAGATATGATAGACCTGTATGTGTTAGCATCAAGGGATTGAAATGATTGCAATGCCTTTGTGTTCAACACTGCTGCAATTCCACTAGGCTGGCTTAAAAATTCACTGATGTGGTGCTTTTTACTTCCAACAACATCATCATATGTTGGCAGATTAACTCTTTCCTTTTTAGTAGCAAACAAATTTGCTTTCTTTACATTTGAATCCGAGGAAGTCGCCGCCTTTACCTTGATCTCCATTTTCTTCCTTAAAAAATCAAATTTATGTCCAATTCCATACAATTTGTTGCACGAAATAATTGATTTTGCTGTAAAAAAGACAGCATCAGCTACCAATGGAAAGGAAACAATAACTTAGCAGAAAGCCACAAAAATCTTGAAAATTTGGTTGCAGAGAGAAGAAGTGAAAAGAAAAGAAAGCATTTGTTACCCATTTAATAATGAATCTGTCTGGTAAAGAAGTTGGTAGTTGGAAGAAAAGCCGAAGAAGAAGAAGGAAACTGGTTGAACTAAATGCCACTGTCACTTATAACTGAAAAGGATATTCTATTCTCGCTACTGATAACAAACAGTGTAATTTCAAACATTACTCTTTTGTTAAATATCATGGTGGAAATCGTGAAGACAGGAAGATAAGATAAATAATGATTTTCCATACTTTGGTTGGTTACACGTATAGTACAAGATAAACTCTTTTTTCTGGTTATAAAAGGTTATATGACTTGAATTACCTATCAAGGATGTCTTTATTGGGTGCTGAAGTTAAATCCAAGACCTTTCGGCACGTGAGCTAACTCGTTGAAAATCATCTTACAAAACTTTAGCTAAAGTTATTAGCTCAGTTTTTTTTTTTTTATTCTAAAAAATATATGCTTTTAATGTTTTTTACAAGCCTCTGCAGAAAATAAAATTTGATAATTTTATTGAGATTAAAATATATTTAACCCAAAAACTAAAAATAGGAAATTTAAGTAAACAAAGGTAATTTACCCCACACAAAACAAAAACAGATAATTTGCTTTTCATCTTCAAACCTTTTTTTCCTACTAATGAGAAGTTTGAGTAAAATTCTAAATTTATGGATATGTAGGACATCAAAGGTACAGACAAATTTACAAATACAGATATTTCTTAAGAGCTCTAAACAGTAATCTCAAACTTTATTTTCAAAGCTTCTGAATAACCCTGAGCTTTGCACTTCTACTTCGGCGGTTCAATTCTTCCTCTTCTTCTGATGGTGTGATTGGCCTTTTTGTGAGAACTATTCCATTTGATCCATGCAATACTTGTTTTATCCATGCTTCTTTTTCTTTGATTCCATCAATCATCTTCCTCAGATCACCATTGCCGCTTTCCCCTTCACCCATGTCTTCATTCCCTTTAATTATATTAAGAAATGTTTGCTTCACAATTCTGTCCTCCAAACTGTGAAAGGATATGACAGCAAGCCTGCCCCCAGGTGCAAGGCAGTCAAAACAAGAATAGAGAGAATCCTCGAGAGTTTTCAATTCGTCATTGACCGCAATTCTCAATGCTTGAAATACTCGGGTTGCTGTCTTTATCCAACCTTGCCTTCCACCTGTTGTTGCAGTGGAATCAAAATGTAGTTCGATCAGAAATGGCATATGCACGATAAATGAGGCTTATAGTCCTAGAAAAAAAAATAAAGCGGCAATAGAAAGTTGTAGAAGGATGTGCTACCTTTCATTGCAGGAGTCACACGCTTAATAAGATCCAGCAAGTCGGTAGTGGAATGTAATCCACCTTCTAAACGGGCTTGGACAATTTTCTTCTGCAGAGTGCGCCAATTACTTTCTTCCCCATAATCCCTTAGGATATGGCCCACTTCAGTATCTGGCCAAGAATTTAGTATGTCTTCTGCTTTAAGGCTTGCCTGTCATAGGCCTGTCCATCAGTTTAATAGGAAACAAAAATCATATATTACTCCGCAGTAAACTGGCTAAAAAATATGATTCCGCGTAAAAGTATATTGCAATGATGTGTAAAAGGAAATAGGCATGTTTCATTAGCGAGAAAGATTTGAAGAAAGCCATCAAAAGAAACTCCCAACATAGTTTAGAATTTAGATAGATACACAAGTCAGGCCGTATATCCACAAAAAAGGTATCAGAGAAATAGCAATACAGGTAAGGGGTTGGAGTTGGACCGTCCAGATTAACGAAAGAGAGAGACTGCAAAGTAAAGAAAAAATTCAACACTAAACAACATTCACATGATAGCACCACTTTTCAGTTTTCACTGCTACAAATCGATGAGCAAATTGCACCTATTCTACAAGCAATCACTTTACAATCATATCCATTCTTTCTCCAAATAGCATAAATTTTAAATTGAACTCTGAAATGCACTAAACTATACCTGAGGATCCATACGCATATCAAGGGGACCATCACCAAGCACACTAAATCCTCTTTGAGGATCATCCACCTAAACAATAAGAAAACATCACTTCATCAATATACAGCGAAAGATTCAAAACACTCGACCACTATTCCAGCACCATGAGAATAGACAAAACCATCGTTTTCAATCACATTCTACAACCACAAAACTTGGCAATTCAATACATCTTCAAACAACAAACATAACCGAAATTTAAAACCATGAATATGCCACAACAACACAAGAAAGCAATCAATGTATCTTAGGTAAACTCAAAAAATGTACCTGCATAGATGACATTCCAAGGTCCATCAAGATGCCATCAATAGACGCAACCCCCAAGTGTTCCTCGCCTGTTCCTCTAAGCACAGACTTGATGTGTCTAAAATTCCTTAACATGGTAAACACTTTCACACTAGACTCACTATCGTCCAAAACAGAACCGATCCGCGATTTAGCTACGCCGCTGGCCACAGGATCCACATCAATCCCAACAAAATACTTCAACTCTGGATGTCCTCTAATCACCTATTCCATCATTCATTCATTCAATACATATCAAATTAGATTCGCTAAATTCGCTACTTTGAGTTTATGATTAGTCGCGACTATACATACAAATAGAAAGGAGTAACTTGCAAAGAAATTGGAGAAATTGATGGATTGATACTAACATTGGTGGAGTGGCCAGCGGCGCCAAGAGTGCAATCAACGAAAGAGGTTAAGGTGCAATTTGAGAAGACATCCAAGACTTCGGAAAGCATGACGGGAATATGAAGATGAGAGTTGTTGTTATAAAGCTCAATGATTGTGTCCTTGTCGAGTTCTTTATCGGAACGAGTTCGTCTCTTTTCCTTGGCAAGTGCTGCTTCTGTCTTCTTCTTTGTGAGTCTGGTAGCGACGTTGCTGCTGCTTTGGGTTCTGAGATTTGAAGCGGGGAAGAGAAAGGAATTGGTGTGGTGAATGAGTTTAGGTTTGGATAATGATAAGAGTGACGATATCTTTGAAACCGTTGCCATTTTTTTGTGTTGTTTTCTTCAGACCTAACTCGCTGTGAGGTAGTAAGCTCACAAACAGTGTTTTATTTTATTAAAGTTTTTTTTAAGTTATTTTAAAATATAAAGTTAATTTTTAAAGTTTTTTTTTTGCAACGTTTTGATATTTTAAAAAAAAATTGTTAGAATAAATTATAAACTCATATATTATTTGAATTAGTTTTTCGCGTTGATCACGAATATGTAATTAGTTTTGCATTTGAATGTGTATTTTGGTCCGATTATTCATTTTTTATTATGCATTTCGTCCATTTTTATCTGATTCTCATTAACCCTAACTTGTTTGATAAATTTGTTTGCATATTTATAATCAGCGCGAAAAATCAATTTAAATGATATATGAGTTTGCAATTTATTATAACGGAGATTTTTAAAATAAGACCAAAGAATTACAAAAAATACTTAAGGGATTAATTTGATATTTTAAAATGACTTAAAAGATTAAAACAGTAGTTTTGCCTTTTATTAATTATAAAATTATTTGTTTTAGTATCTCCAATACAAGTTTAAGAAAATTATTGTCTTTTTTTTCTAATTTATCTTTTTATTTTATTATTTGTAAAATTGATTGAACGTGAAATTAACCATAGGTCGTTCAAGGTATATTATGTAATATGGTGGTTAAGGTCGACAGCTGCGAGAAAATATGTGTCGTAGTGTTTATGGCGGTTTGGAGGATTGGTTCACGTGAGGTGATAGATTTTATATCAGCGTGATGCTTCGTGTCAGTTTAGGTATAAGTTATGAAAAAGAAAAAGGGTCATTTGGGAAAAATATATGAAAAAAGAGGTATGTGTTCTTTGATCTTTTATATTGGTCAAGTCTCGATGTGATACATGTGAAAAAAATGTGTGTGATAGTTTGATTAGATACTTCTAAACATTCCAGACAAGACTAAACATAGTAAGTAATCACGTCTCGATATGGAGGTGATGGGTATACGAACACAATTTGCTCCAATAGAAAAAGGGAAAAGAACTTATTTTCCACCGGTTTGTTACACTCTATGTAAAAAGGAAAAGAAAAGTGTTTCTAAGTGTTTGCATGGTATCAAAGTTTCCCAAGGTTACTCATCAAACATCAAGAAACTTGTATTAATGAAAGGTCTCAAGTTAATTGGTTTGAAATCTCATGATTGTCATGTCTTGATGCAACAACTTCTACCAGTGGCTATCTGTGACATCCTACCAAAAAATGTGAGAGTAACCATAACTATATTGTGTCTGTTCTTCAATGTCATAGTAATAAAGTTCTTGATTTCAAAAAATTAGATGAATTAGAAGATGAAGTTGTCATAATGCCATATGTAATAAATTTCTTGATTCCAAAGTCTCGCCATGCTGACACTGAAGTTAGAGGTATTTAAGGTTTAAATGTTAAGTCAATGACTCGAGATATGGTTATTCAGGCGCATTTATATATCTTGAATAATCTTGAAGAAGTTCAACCTTACGTGGCTACTCACAAAATATTTTTGAAGAAAGGATATCCATGAATGAGTGACAAGTTGTTGTTGATTGAGCATAACAAGAAATTTCTATATTGGTTTAATAAAAGGATACTAGATGATCATGGTGCATCTGAGACAATTAAATGGTTGTCATACATGACAAAATTTAATGTCATAATTTAGACTCCATATGACATTGGTCATTATACCTTTTATACAAAATCAAAAGATGATCGTAGTACAATGCAAAATAATGGGGTTATGGTTGAGGCCGAATCCATGTATTTCTTTAGTTCGAAAGATAAGAATCAATTATTGGCATCTAGTGCATTCTATGGTGTCATTGAGGAGATTTGGGAGATTGATTATGTTATCTTCAAAGTGTCTTTATTTAAATGCAAGTGGGTTCTCAATAACATTAATGGTGTACAAAATGATGACTTAGGATTCACCTGTATTGACCTTGGTAAGGCAAATTATATGACCGAACCATTCATCATGGCTTCATAAACAAAACAAGTTTTCTATGTGACCGACCCTACGAACACATCGGGAAAATGGTCAATCGTTCTTCGAGGAAAATGCATTCCTAGTAATGATGAAAGTTTTTATACTTCTTCTACTCCTTCTTACACAACACAAGTGTCTACCATATATGATAAAGTTGATAGAGATGGTGTGTATGTCATTCGTATTGATCATAATGAAGGCATATGGGAAAATTAACAAGTATTTTATTCTTTATTCATAATTTAATGTAAGTTATTATTTCTAGGTATATTTACTAACAAGTATGATAATTTGAAATTATAGGTGTTTAAAGTCAAGACACCAAGAGACAAGAAACCAAAACACTAAGGTACAATTATGTGATGTTATATAATACGTTGTAGGCTGTTTTGTGTCATTTTTATTTTGATGTAATATATATATATATATATATATATATATATATATATATATATATATATATATATATATATATATATATATATATATATATATATATATATATATATATATATATATATATATATATATATATATATATATATATATATATATATATATATATATATATATATATATATATATATATATATATATATATATAGACACACACACACACAACGTACGTTTAGTTCTTAGTCCAATATATGGATTTGATGTAATACAATACAATTATTGTTATGATACAATTGTTGTTTCGTTCTAATACAGTTCACAAAAATACAAGTTAAAAAATGGAAAAATTTCAAAAAATAGAAATATATTGTTTTAAAAAGCAAATAAGTTAACGAGGGTTGTTAAATATGACAGTGAATGTTGTCCAGAATAATATATATACCAAAAAGGCACTGTTAAGTGTCGCTACGCGAAAAATGACACAGAGTCGCCACCGAATTTTATTTATCCCAAAGAGGGAAAGGGAAATAACGATAAAACCTTTAAGAAAAGAGCATGGTCATCGCAACCAAGTTTTAGGGTTCGAGAGTCGGTTATGTGAGGAGAAGGTATTAGCACCCCCTCATATCCATCGTACTCGATGGGAACCTTCTAAGTTGTTTAACTTGAATGAGTATTTTTAATTTAAAAGTTTGTTTGCTTAAAGGAAAAGAGGGGTTGGTTTTTTATTAGAGTGTTCGCCAAGGATTGTGGCCCTTATGCCTACGTATCCTCACTTAAAAGAAGTGAAGAATCAGAGATCCGTAGTTCGGAGGCTTGTGAAATGATTGTATGTTGGTTGATTTTATACCTTGAAAAAAGGGTTTTCGGATTGATGTCCTAAGGCGAAAATAAGTTTGATAAGTTGATGTTATTTTTAGGTTTTTGAGAAGAAATTGTTCTTGATTAGGATCACACTAAAGACTTTGGATAGAGATGAATGTTTCGAATAACCAAGTTGAGCGCCTTGTATTCAAAATATTCGGAACGAGTGTAGGAGGGGTTTCATTCTCATTCCTTTTCCACCACTTTAAAGCTCATGGCGTATAACCCCAATCGTATCTTTATTGTTTTTTTGGATTGTTTGTGAGAATAAATACCACTTGATGTTGGATCAAGGGTTTTATTGCTTGTAAAATGTTTGAAGTAATGCGAACAAGGTCGATGGCGACGCACAAGTGATGTTGTGATTCGCAAGTGCACGAATAGCGTTAGAGTAATATAAAAGATTATCGATCCCTCAGGTACTAAATGTCAATCTACCGATTACTGTTGTTACAGTGTTTATCTAAGTTAAGTCAATTTGGAGTTGGGTTGTGCAAAACAAAAGTAAAGTGTGAGAATAAATTCAATAATAAAACGGCAGGCTTGGATGTAATTCACATAGCTAGGCAGTATTCCAAATGCATACAAATAGACTTCTTAAGGGGTAATGTTTTCTACTCATGAAAAGAACTAATTTAACGGGAACTATCGCTTTCGCATATTCAGAACCGAGTTTATCCCCTGATCAATCCCTCTTATTGTCACTTATAAAAAGGCACACATTGTGTTAGAGTGATTAAACCTATTTTTAAGAAATATAGTTTCTTAACTTAGTTGAAAAGTGTTTTGACCTGGAATTTCTAACAAAAAGAGGTTCTTGCGAACCGGACTTTAAATCCATAAACGCATCCGAAAATAGTTTTAAAATCGTTTTTCTAAAGCATTAAAGATTCCTGCTTAACTAGACTAAGCGCTTTCGCTTCCTTTGAAGAGTTAAGACTAACCAAATTTATCTAAAATTTCGACGGCTTTCGATCTTACCAAACAAATTTTAAGTGCAGAAAAGATGTATTAAAAGTCAAAATAACCCTTAAGCGATTCTATCGACAGTCGTATGGAATACTAATTTTAACTATGATCCTCACATCCTAACCTCTAAGATATAGCCGGACATGGAAACGTAAATAAACATGGTAAATAAAGTGCGATAAATAAGGATGGTAAATGAATTGCAAGTAAATAAAGTGCAGGAAATAAAGTGCGGGTAAGTAAAGTGCAGGAAATAAATGCGGATAAGTAAAAGAGGAAAATAAATAGAAACCTGCTTCAAACGGGAGGTTTTAAATCTTGGTATAACTTGAAGTAAAAGACTGAAATAAAATGGCGGCAGGATCAACTTCTACCAAAGTGCTCTAAACCCGATTACAGACTCGATTAGACAATGTGATAACCACTCGATGTGAGAAGTTTATCACTTTACAACAAATAGAATTTATGGCTTGAGTTCTGTAACTAAGCTTGGATGCCTAGGAATGAGGCAAAACTCTTCTATTTATAATGCTAGGAAATTACAGCGAAAGACTAGAATTCCCCCCAACTTCTTTTGGGAGGGAAACGAAATGCAAGGGTGGCGTCCGCCATGCCCTCATGGCGCCCGCCACGTATACTAGAAATAGAAAATAGAGAAAACTACCAACAAATCCAACACAACTCATACATAATCATACACATTGATCAAATAATAATGTTTCTCACCCTTACCTTGATTGGATTGAAGCTTGAAGTTGATTCTTGATGATTTCTC